ACGGCCCAGGATGCAGATGAACTTAACTCGCCTGCGTTTGCTCTGCTGTAAACCCGTTTTGATGAGCAGAGTGAGACTTAGTCCACACCTCCTCCCTCAGAATTTGAAGATTGTGATCACCCTCCGGAGGGGATGACAAATGGCTCATTTATTAGCTTGTTTTGCCAAATGCGAAGCAGCCACTGGGGGATTTGTGGCCGGTAAAAGGGACGAAATTGGGGTGAGATTATGAAACCGCTTAGAGGTGGGAGAACTAAAATTATTCTGTCCTAAACATCCAGCCCGAATGAGGGCACTGTAGTCTAGTAGGCAATAAGCAGTTTAGTTGGAAGAGTTGCATGTCGATAAACTGCCATTAAATGACGCTAGTTGCTTGTCAACAAGCCCCACCTTGATCGAGACAAACTCCTTGATTCGTACTAATTTGTTTGACCTTGTTGAAGGAGACTAGGTTTGGTACTTATTCCTTTTAAATGTCTCACAATCAACTTAAAGCCGCACTGATGATTACGGATAAGGGGTTGGCCGATTAGGAGAGGGATAACGTTAATTTTTGATATGCTTAAGTTAACCATATTTATACGAAGATACGCTCTCATGAATACGTCTTACGCGGACCCGAAGAAATAGTCCTGTCGTCATGTTTATCTTTAGGCTGAGAATTTGGTTAGTCGGTTAAAAGCAGAACATTCTAAGATGTAAATTCTCGAAAGCTTAGGGTCGCAGTAGCGGGTTCTCATAACCCTTTCAGAGGTGCAAATTTTGCTTCGCAGTAGACGCTAATCGTCGGGCAATTTTGCTGTTCCTGCGATGAAAACTGCCCCTGTCGACATTTCGTGATCTACGTGACAAAACGCGTGCTTATGTAGAAACGAATTAGGCCAGCTGGTGTACTTTTCTAAAGTTTGTATGCATTTCAAGGCCGCCATCGGAAAATAGATTTTCCCAAGTCCACCGATTTAATTAAGTCAAGTCAATGAATGCCTCGATGTTGGGCGGGCGTCTCTGTATGTATCTTACTTGGATACTAGACTTAACGATTGCTCTGCCTATTGATATATTTTAGACTGTCATGCTGAGTAATTCAATGATGCAGCCAGCGCTAGCAGCAGGAAAAATCTAGACACATTTTTTTCAATTTCCACGACGGTAAAGCAACATCTGAAACATCAGCGTGTGAGAATCAACGTTCTGTGTCATCTTTCTTGTCTTTCTACATATACATGTTGCACTCTTAGCGAGCTGCTCATGTATTATATGTGGTACGCGTCCTCTGACACAGCGTTCGTTGTCGCCAGTAGCAAGCTGGCGGGCGGACAGAATGGGATCGAGTGAGATCCTAACCACAACAGTGAGGGTCAAACGCCCACTTGACATGCATATACATGTATATATATGAGACAGTATAGTCGGTATATTTGAAGTAAATGATAGAAGCCTTTGAAACTCCGTTTAAACGGTACATGTGTGATTGAAAATAGTTAGTACCAACAAAGACTAGGGGGACTGGGACGGCCACTTCTGGCCTATTAACCTTTATCAGCCAGTCATACTCATCCACACGTGTGGATCACTCGGGATTCGAACCCGGGATCTTTGGTCATAACACTCTACCATTGTTCTACGGGCCCGTTGCTCTGTATGTTGTGATAGGGAATACTGATTACGGCAGATGGATGCCCACCGATCTGGTTGCGGGACATGTTAATTTCATTTTATTTACGTATGCCACTAGTAGCTTTGAGACTGCCTGCAAGGGTTCCGGCTTGAGCCACGAGGTACAACGGAAATAACACGTTCCGTAACCCGACCGGCGAGCTCCCATTTATCATAATTTATGTGTTTATATACAGTGCGTGACCGATCTCATGAAATGTTGGCCGACATTTGAAATGTGTTTTCGATGAAATGTACACCATAGTCCGGATCCATTTCAAAATTTCATGGACTCTAGATGATATCTTCTTAAAGGCATAGAGAAATATATATCATTGTCCTTACGCGGAAAGCATGCAACTTGTAAACTGAAATCGCTAAACGCTAATTCAATGGCAGATTGGAAAACTTTTTAAAACCTAAATATACATTTTTTTCGGGTATAAAATATGAAGATAATGTGACTTTCTAGCGAACGAATATAGGAAGGCATATTATTGTGCACGTTTTCTCTCAAATATATTTGAATTTGTAAGACCACCGAAAATCAATAGGAAAAACGCATGCTAGTTAAGTAGTCATCTTTTGCCGATCGCGGTTTCTGCACAAGGTCAGAAGGAAGTGCGTCCAAAAGCCGACATCCTAATGAGTCCGAAATGCTATAGGATTATGCTGCATGCTAATCAATGTTACAAGTATACCTAAGTAATACTTCCTACTCGAAAACACAGTTCACGTTTCATGAGATCGGTCACGCACTGTATATTTGCGTGCAAGCTAGCCATCGCAGGTTACACGGGTGGACCATTTGCAACTTTGTTGGTCCGTCTGTAAGGCAGCTGATTTTTTCGCACAAAATGTTCGGTGCAGAGTAATTTTCAAAGGAAATGCCCTCCCATTTGTTGAAAATATTTCTGAACATGTGAAAATGCGATCGGCGCATCAAAAAGATTATTAGGAACGGGCTGCCTACCAGCTCTTTAGAGAGGAATGATTGACACTCTTCGGAAGAATAGGAAGCATACGCGCAAAAATTGTACTTACTAGTTAGGCTTTTATTCGATTCTCTGAACCAGATCGACCAAGAACTCTAATAATATACCCAGCCGGATGTTAGCCTGTAATCTTTGATCGCATGCCCTGTCAATCAGTGGTTGATCCTCTTTTCTACTTTGAAGCATTTACTCCAATCTCGGCTTATGTTTCAAGTGCCTCGGAGTACGTTTCAGAACGAAGTAAAACAAGACATTAGATTTGAGATCTTCCGACACTCTCCCCGAGTGAGGCACTTTACTGCCTCAAAACCAAATCAGGCAAGATCTTCCCGAAGGAGACATTTTAACGTTGCACTTTTCTCTGGAGCGATGAGTGCAAACTGTTACTTACCCTTTTTGAACTTGCTAAAATCTAACTTCCGTTCGGTAATCCAAGGCTGCTGATCTTACATGATAAAGTGGCAGTTTAGGCAACTGTGATGTCGAGTCTCTCTGACAGTTCGATCGTCGCAAACTGCTTCTCGACGCAGTTCGCCCAGCAACAGCGACATACGTACGAAAAAGTTGATAGTGAGACAGGCTTGCACTGCATCTGATGCACTCCCTCCTGTCCAATTCCCTTGCTCCGATAAAAAGTCAATACAATCATCAGTGGACTTCAACACTGTGTATGACAAAGCTAACCAACCGATCTACGCGTGTAATAAACAACCTGACCGTTCCACCGCCGCGCTCAACGATGTCCACCGTGGGCTCCAAAGCAAGTTTTAGCTGCCACGTTGAGTTGCGCGTGAATTATTTTATAGTGAGAGTAGACTTGCGCAGCATCTACCGCACTCTCTCCTCTCTCACGTGGGCCCAATTTCAAGACGAAGCGGAGGCGGGAGAGGACGCAAGTGCCTGGCACGGCCGCACTCGCAGTCAGGCGTACCACCACCCTCCCTGGTCCACAACAAACACCTGACCAGGATTTTAACCAACAACAATGGAGCAGAAACAGGGGAGGACGGAAAAAGTCGCCAGACAACCATGCGTACGACCTATATGCTCAGCAGGAGCACAAGAGCATCTATTGGCAGGCAGCCAGGTGTCAGAGAACTTCCAGCGCTGATCAGGCTGCGAGGGCCATTGCTTGCTGGTCGGCAGACGCACACAATCCTTAAAATCCAAAAGAGTGAGATACAGAGCTGCATTTAGCCTGAGCCATCACCCCTCAAAGGCTGGGTAACCAATCGGTCATCGACTGAGAGGCGCTAAAAACAAAAACAACGTTCGACCGTCGATTTCGACGATGTCCACCGTGTGCCCCACAGCTGCAGCAGCGGTGGGAGCAGGGACGGTGACTTGCGCAGGGGGTTTATAGTGCCGGTAGACTTGCGCTGCATCTACCTACACTCTCTCCTCCTCCCCCGCCTGGGCCCGGTGTCAAGACAGAGTCAAGAAGACCGGAGACGAGGGAGGCCGCAGGTGGATGGCTCGGACGGATCCTCACCTTGGCGTTCCACCACACCCCCTGGTCCACACAACAAATAACCAGGATTTCAACCAACACAAGAGAGATTTGGAGGCTGGCACGGCCGAAGCCGCACCTGGGCGTGCCGCCAACGCCTGGCTCGGATCCCACACTGTGGTGAGAGTGCCATAAAGGCCACATTAAAAAGGAGCCATTGCAGCCTGACTCTCAGACCACCTCCCGTTAAGGAGGAGGTCCAAGGTATCCCGTCAGTTGGCAACCTTCCAAGCCACGGCTTTTAGCGCACCGTGATAGCTTCAAGCGCGTCAGATTGATTATAGTGAGGATAATGCGCTGAGTCGTCGACCTCACTCTCCCTTCCCATTCCCATTCCCACACCCCAGCCACTGTCCGAGCCGGTCAGTAAACTGAAGTGGGGAATGGGCGCGGTGGCTGGCATGGTCGACTGACCATGCCTGCGCGCGCCACAGCACGACCTGGCCCCCCATACACACAAACACCAGGATTTCACACAACGGGGGTTGAATGGCGTGTCTCCCACTTGCGTGAGAGGGCCGTGGAAGGTGCTGCTTCAGCCCATCCCCAGCCCACCAGTCCGCCACTACACACAACACACACAACGTGACGAATTGCGCGAACCGAGAGCGGGCCTCAATCAGCAACCTTCCTATCCACGACACTTGACGTGTCGGGATAGTCTCGGACACAAGTCACCCGTGCAGCCGAAACCGCATGGGGACCGAGTCGAGATGCACACTTCCCACTTGCGTGGGAGGCGGCAGTTGAGTGCATGAGGTGTGTGAAGGTTGATGTCTGGTGGGGTGATGGTGTTAGGAGGTAGGGAGTGAGGAATGTGTGGTGTGACCGGCGGTTGTCTACCGCAGGTCGTCGTGGATGCGCATGTGGCCGAATAAACCCATGCGATGCGTGAAGGTGCGAGGGCAGTGTGGGCAGTGGAGGCGAGTGCGGTGAGTGTAGGTTGGTGCTCCAGGCACTGGTTCGCCAGTCTCTGTGCGATGGATTCGCAAGTGACCGACCAGGCCGATGCGTGAAGTGAAGGTGCGATCGCAGTGAGGGCAGATGTAGTCCTGGCCCTCACGTCTGATGATGGGGGTTGCAGGGGTTGTGCCGGTTGTTGTGTCAGGTTCGGCTGTGGTGAAGTCGTGGGCGACAGACGCCGAAGCGGCCGTCGTTGTGGCAGTGAAGGAGGAAGAGGAGGAGGAAGGGGAGGAGTGAGGGGTGGTAAGGTCGGTGGCGTCGATGCCGGCTGGGGAGTGGTTAGTGGGTGCACAAGGTGGTGGATTGGGAGTGGGGCTAGGCGCGGTGGATGTGTCAAGGCTGCGGTCAATTCCGCTCTTGTGGATGCGCATGTGGCCGAATAGACCCATGCGATGAGTGAAGGTGCGAGGGCATTGTGGGCAGTGGATGTGAGTGTGGTGGGTGAAGGCTGGTACTCCAGGCACTGGTTCGCCAGTCTCTGTGCGATGGATTCGCAAGTGACCGACCAGGCCGATGTGTGAGGTGAAGGTGCGGTCACAGTGAGGGCAGGTGTAGTCCTGATCCTCATCAGTGGTATCGGGAGAGGTGGGAGAGGT